AAAGCTAATTGTGGAGACTTTCCTTCACTTCATGAGACAGAAAGTGAGGAGAAATCCCTCCAAATGAGGGGAAATATCCACCTAGACAGGTGTCCCCCTTGCAATATTTCCCCTGACCTGCTCTTCTGGTAGCAACTATAACATTTTGGATTTTCCATAATTTTCTGTCTTGGTCACGATGGTCACTAGGTCACAGACTTATAGTCAATCACCCTAGTGGGGGCACAGAGACAGAAATAAAACTTGACAGGTATGCCTGTCCTATTACTGGCTCCTGCTGTTTATGTGCATGGGGTTACTTTAGCACTATTGCTTACCTCGCCTCAGGCAGCAGAAAGCCTTGAATCACCATGATGTACTGTATTACATTCTAAGCACTGCTTTTCTAAGAATACTTTCTCATAACTTGTCTTTGTATGAGGAGACCAGGTGTCAGACTTTGCTGATCTTCTATCTTCATTCCCCTGAGCTTATGCTCTGAGATGACCATAAAATAATTCAAAGGGCTTTGTACAACTTTAGAAGGACACTGGGTAAAAAGCTATGGTGCATGCCACACACATATTATTGAAAGAGAAGATGCTATATTTTGTCATTACTATGGAAACTACATTCTTTCTTTTTCAGATTCAACAGTTTAAGTAGTTTTGTACAAATCACACCTAAAACACTAACGGGCATATTTATAAACCAGAGAATCTGACATTCAGCAAATATTCTTTGCAGCTAAATGGCAGAGAATGTTTAGTAAAAGTCACAGTTGCTGCTTTATAAATAGACCCCTATCTGTCTAATGAAATAAAGCTATAGTAAAGAAGCCGCTCAACCTAAAACAAAAGTTGCGTGAAGAAGATACTAATAATATTCATAACTGCGCATGTAAATTTACCCACACGTGAAGAGAGATGCAGATAGTTGGGATTTATGCAACATTGCATTGTAGCTTATACCTATTCCTTCAAAGCCATGCACTATACTTTTTTGCAGCTTTAATTTACTTTATCCAATTATTTGCCTGTGTGTGGGCATCTTTAAAATTTACAATCTGCATTGAGCAGTCTTAATTATCTGATCTTTCTGTCACTTGGCAGGTACATAAAATGCTTGATGGTATACAACAACCTGCATGTTTCTTTGACCTACTGATCCCTAGGGGCAAATGTGCTGCTATGAATGGTGCCATCTTAGCAAACACTTGCAGACATGATTACTGAGTATACAAGCTCGGAAAAGACCAACAGTGTTGCCTTCTGTAAGTAAGATTTCTTACTGCTTTACAAATACCAAAGACCTGTCTATGCTGCTCTCTCTGTCTATGCTCTAACTTGGTCCTTACTAGAACAATGGGCATATTTATAAAGCAGTAAATATGACATTCATAAACCATTCACTGCAGGTGAATCTAACACTGTCATTTAAAACACATTGGGGTTTATTTTGTAATGTTTTTTGTTTAGCAATGTTTTCTCCCATGATTCACTCAATTTTCACCCACACAATTTTCACTAGGGATCTCCCATTACGATTTTTTCAAGACCAAGTACCAGTACTTTCCCTCAGGTACTTGCTGATAGCAATTACCGATAATTTTTCTTAAAGAGACATGTGACATTTTTTCTAAAACAATACAGACTGATGATTTTAGGGTAGTTTCTTTATAATTATAAAGAACTGTAACTCAATCCATGATTATTCAGCAATGGAGAATGGCAACCAGCAATCATGGATTGCTGAGATTTGTAGTCCTCTATAGCAGGTTGCCATTCTCTATTGCTGTATAATCGTTGATTATACAGCAATGGAGAAAGGCAACCAGCAATAGAGGATACAGATCCCATCAATCCATGATTAAACCGCAATTATACAGGCTGTGTGCGGTTTCACTAGGGTGCACGCAGATCTCAGAAAACAAAAGGGAACAGAGCGCCACCTCGATTCTGATGAAGGGGGCTTGCCCCTGAAATGCGTCAATCTTGGCTGACTACGGCCGGTGGACGGTGATGTGACTGGAGGCAGCCGTGGTACATAGTCAGGGCGATACCATGTTAGGTTAACAGACAGTGTGGCCTCTTGTTTGTTGTTAAAGCCTGATGAAAACGTTTGCTTGTGAGAGTACATATATCCCTTGTTTTATTTATTTTAATAAACGATTTTACACACGGAGGTGGTGCTCTGTTCCCTTTTGTTTTCTATGTTCCTGGTGGAAGCCCAAGAGCCTTGGACGAGCAGCTCCTCAAGTCTGTGAAAAACTATGATAATCTGTTCAAAACTTTGATTATGCAACAGCAAGTGGATTGTTCAGCTAGCAGCCATTAGCGCCAAGAGTTAAGGAAAACTGTTTATCTGCATGCAGATCTCACCAGGGCTGTATTTGGGTCTCACCAGGGCCGGATGCAGATCTAACTAGGGCTGTGTTTGGGTCTCACCAGGGCTGTGTGCAGATCTCACCTGGGCTGCATTTGGGTCCCACTAGGGCTGCGTGCAGATCTCACCAGGACTGCATTTGGGACTCACCAGGGCTGCGTTTTGGGACTCACCAGGGCTGCGTTTTGGGACTCACCAGGGCTGCGTAAATATTTTACCAGGGCTGCATGCAGATCTCACCAGGGCTGTGTTTGGAACTCACCAGGACTGCGTTTGGGACTCAGAGGGCTGAATTTGGGTCTCTCTGGGGCTCTGCAGGTGAGTGCCAGGATAAACGGGTAGGACCTCAGGCAGCCGAACTTGTTTAAAAATTTAAAAGGCTGGTATTGGCCTTCAGAATTGGGGCATTTTCAGGAGTACATGCACTCCTGAAAATGCCCTGTATCGGCATTAGTACTAGTACGATACTAGTATCAGTATCGGGACATCCCTAATTTTCACATAGGATTCCTTTAGAAAAATGTGTGAATCTTGGGTAAATGTTGTACAAATCTTGGATGAAAACATTGATAACTAGACCCCATTTACCAGGAAGATTTACCTGCAGTAAATATTTAGTGAATGTCACATTCACTACTTTATCAATATAATATCTATGTCATCCTGACTTACCAATTGTTTACAACATTGCTTAAATCCAATTTAATAGAATAGATCTTGCTGCTGTAAGTGCAGATTAAAAGCCTAAGTGGCCTGTAAATTGGAGAGAATATTATTTAGCATTGACCTTGCTGTTTTCTGCAGTAAAATGGCATTACCAATAAGGAGTGGGAAACTTTCTTAGAAAGTTGTGTTTGGATAAAGAAGCATCCCCTGCAGGTAATTACCCTTAAAGGGTCTTAAGGAGCTTAGTTTAGTCATTGCTAGACCATTTAACGTAATCTTCAAGGATTACATTGCAGCAAATACAACAGCACCACAAGATTAACACACAGCAGTTCAATGTATTTAAGAATATGACTTAATCACAACAAGCAATTTGCTGGACAGTTAGCAGCAATGATAAATGAGCTATTTGTGTTTTAAAAGAAAGGTTAGAACATATCAAGTAATACAAACAGGACCAAAGTTAGCACTACATATAATAAGAACCATAATGTAAATCTATTTTGGTCGCATTAAGCCCGAATTAAGTACTAAAATA